GACATAGGTCAACAGAGAAGAATAGATAGTTCAGAAATAGACCTGCATAAAAATTGTCAATTTATTTTTTAATAGTTATATTGAAGTAGAATTGCCATGCAAAGAACTGCACATGTTTAATGTATACTCTTTGATGAGTTTGGACATATGCAAATACCTGTGATCACAGCCAGTGGGTATCCAAAAAAGGCATAGAAGCCACTCAATGAACAAAGTCTTTTCAGCAAACAGTGCTAAAACAACTGGACATCCATATACAAAATCAGGAATTTCAATCTATACCTCATGTCTCACACCAAAACTAATTAAAAATAGATCATAAACCTAAGTGTAAACAATAAAAGTATAAAGTTCTTTTCTTCTGTAAAAGATAGGGCAAAATCTTTTGTAATCTTGGGTTAGGCAAAGAATTCTTAGATGTGACACTGAGAGCACAACCCATAAAAGACAAGATTGATAAACTGGACTTCATCAAATTTAAAACTTTGCTTTGCAAAAGACACTGTCAAGAGAATAAAGGACAAACTACAGATTGGAAGCAAATTTTTTGTAAAACACACAGTTCACTGCAGACTGGAACTTCTGGGCTTAAGCAATCCTCCACGTCAGCCTCCTGAGTAGCTAGGCATGTGCCACCAAGCCTGGCTAATTTTTCTTTTTTCTTTTATTGTAGAGATAGGGGTCTTGCTATGTTGACCAGTCTGGTCACAAACTCCTGGCCTCAAGTGATCCTCCCACCCTGGCCTCCCAAAGCTCTGGAATTGTAGGTGTGAGTCATCGAATCCAGCCTCATACTCAGGATTTTTAAATGCCAATCCTAATAACAAAGAAGCCCAGGGCTTGTGTTTCTTTGGTAGAACAGGTATTAAGGGATTGTTGCAGTGAAGATACAAGCTCTGATTAGATGTCAACATCATTTTGAGCTGTGATTGCACCTCTGCACGCCATCCTGGACAACAGAGCAAGACCCTGTCTCTTAAAATGAACAAACAGTGACAACAGCAAAAACCCTTTGGGTGTAAGCAGTGGAAACCCACAGGCTGGCTGGAGCATTCAAAGGGATGGAAGACATGGGCACTGTGTCTCACATCTGTAATCCCAGCACTTAGGGAGGCAGAGGCAGAAGAATAGCATGAGCCTAGGAGTTTGAGACCTGCCTGGGCAACACAGCAAGACTCCCTTCTCAAAACACACACACACACACACACAAAAAGGATGGAACGGAAAGAAGAACCATGTAGGAAGAGCAGGGACCCACAGCAGCAGTAGGTAGGTCTTCACTTCAGGACACATTGTCACTAATGTATATATCACAATTCTCAGGCTCTTTGCTGCTCTGTTCTGAGTTTCAAGTTCCTGAGTGAGTATAATTGCACCAACTTTGGTTGGGTGTCTACCTCTGGATCGATTGGTGGCAGCCACTGGATGAATGCCCTAAATCTGAGAAGGCCACTGGGGCTTTGTCCCTGTGCACTGAAGCCATTCACAACAAAGGAGGAATTGTGTGCTAGGCAGTGGCCCCAATGTATTGTAAGCAAAAAAAGGTTGCACAGATTCTCTTCTACATGAGCTCACCATCAGGATATGAGGACAATACAGGGTTTGGTGGCATTCTAATTTCCCCTCACAGTCTCTTTAATATCCCAACAGGTCTTTGTCTAAGGCCTAAGAGAAATTAGTCTCATCTTCATGTTTATACTTTTACAATTTGTTTAAACTATGGACAAAAGATCATAACACTCTCATTCGGTCCTTTATCTAAAAAAATAATACTTCTAAATGCTTAGGATGGTCCTTAAGATGTTACTACTCTGCTTAAAAATGTATAGAGAAAAAAAAAAAACATATAGGGCATTGCACTCCAACCTGGGTGACAGAACAAGACCCTGCCACAAAAAAATAGAAACTTACAGTGGCTCCCTATTATCTACCACATTAAAACATCTAAGAATTTAGTTACACATCAAATAGCCTTCTCTTCCTTTCCCAATTCCTTTTTTATTAAATATTAGTTGAGCATACAATATTCTCTTTAAGTATTATTTTTTAACATAATTTTACACGACAGCACAGCTTCGTGCTGGAGATGAAAGAGACTGTTTCTTGCTATGTTGCCCAGGCTGGTCTCCAACTCCTGGGCTCAAGTGACCCTCTCACCTCGCTCTCATAAAGTGCATGGATTACAGGTGTTATCCACCATACCCAGCCAGAAAAACATTCTCTACTTTCTAGACATTAACGTGGTGGTAACTGTATTCGTCAATCTTATAAGCCCAAAATCTTATGGTCATAAATATCTGAACTCAGATCACCCCAGAATATTTTTGGCATATGTTTGTCATAACCAAAGAATATGCAAAAAAAAAAAAAAGTTGAAAACAGCCCCTACCTCGTAAAGACAGTTAAGAGTGGCACCGGCTAGGGCCAGGCACAGTGGCTCATGCCTGTAATCCCAGCACTTTGGGAAGCTGAGGCGGGTGGATCATCTGAGGTCAGGAGTTCAAGACCAGCCTGGCCAAAATGGCAAAACCCCATCTCTACTAAAAATATAAAAATTAGCTGGGCATTGTGGCACATGCCTGTAATCCCAGCTAGTCAGGAGGCTGAGGCAGAAGAATAGCTTGAACCTGGGAGGCGGATGTTGCAGTGAGCTGAGATTGCACCACTGCACTCCCACTCCAGCCTGGGCGATAGAGTGAGGCTCTATTTCAAAAAAAAAGAAAAAAAAAAAAGAGTAGTACAAGCTGCTTTCTAGCAACCCTTTCACCTTGTCAGAGTCCCAGCTGTCCCCAGACCAACCTTGTTTACTCCCACCTTGCTTTTTCTTTTGCTATTCCTTTGACCTTGAAAATCTTATCTTGCGCATCATTCTGTATCCTCCACTTGCATAAAGTAAACTACCTCCAAAAAGTTTGCACTAACCTCTCCATACACTGAACAATAGTTATAACATAGTAAAAGCTGTCTCTCCTATCAGAAAAACTGCATATAACTAAAAAATGAATTTGATAAATTTTGATATCACTTTTAATGTTTTAATATCAATAATAATTTAAATGGTCATTATGCATTCCTTAACCCAGGTACCTCCTTCATGAAGTAATCTGTTTCACCCACCTTGGAACTTCCATTGCATTTCATTCCTCTATTGCACACCAACTCATTTTTTTCTCTTTTGTATTATGATTATGGTTCTCTGTCAATGCTTGTCCTCTATGAGATTTTAGCTCTTTGAGGGAAGGTACTGTGTCTTACTCTTATTTGCACCCTTTCTAGTTCTCAGCACAATGCCTGGTATACTATAGACGCACAATATACTTTGTGTGTGTATGTGTGTGTGTGTGTGTGTGAGAGAGAGGGAGAGAGAGAGAGAGACGGAGTTCCACTCTGTCGCCCAGGCTGGAGTGCAGTGGTGCAATCTTGGCTTACTACAACCTCTGCCTTCTGGGTTCAAGAGATTATCCTGCCTCAGCCCCCCGAGTAGCTGAGACCACAGGCCAGCACCACTGCACCTGGCTAATTGTTGTGATTTTAGTACAGATGGGGTTTCACTATGTTGGCCAAGCTGGTCTTGAACTCTTGACCTCAGGTGATTCACCTGCCTCGGCCTCCCAAAATGCTGGGATTATAGGCGAGAGCCACTGCGTCTGGCCACCGTATACATTTTTTTGAATGAAGGAAGGAAATAACCAACAGAGATTTATATATCGATATTACAGCCTCCTTTTCCATATAAGCCCATCAGACGGCCTAGAAATAAAACACTTACTAAAAACAGTTCAGAGAACGCTATCTGTGAAACTGTTGGTATGATATAATTCTAAAGAAGGTTAGGGGACCCCCAGAGTATACGGAAAGCTCAGTCTGCTTTTTAGTGCTAGTGTCACAAGTAAAACAACCATAGTGCCTCTTGAGAAATAAGCACTAATTTTAGAACTAATAAGTACTAATTTTAGAGCTCCATATATTAATGGTTTACAGCCTTTCCTTTCTCAGTGGCAGTACTAAGAAATGGTTAGGAGCTTGGGGTCTGAAGTCAGAATACCTGGATTTCAGTCTCATCTCCATCACGTATTACCCATGTGACCTTGGGCGAGTTGTTTAACCTCTCTGTGCCTCAGTTTCATCACTGGCAAAATGTCAAAACTAACAGTAAACTCCCTCAAAGGGATGGTGTGGAAATTAATGACAATGTATTTAAACTGTTTAGAATAGTACCTGGCACTGTGTGTTTTAAAGTGATATATCCCCTATTGGTAAATTCCATGTTAAGGGCAAAATTTCTTTTTTATATCCCACCAGGGTACCTAGCACAGTGTGCAACAAATACTAGATGCTCAAAAATGACGTAAATTACATTTGAGGTATACAAATTGAATGCACAAGAAAATGAAGGTATGTTAAAAATGTAAATGCAATTAATATAAATTAAAGAGCTCTTGACATATCATCTGCACGCCTTCAGTTTTTCCTTATAATTAGTTGCTGGGTGTCTTACAATTGATCTTTTCCTTGCCGTCTTCAAAACATGTAGTTTGGTGTAATGCACATTAGCCCTCAGAATTGCTGGCCTCCTGACAGGCTAGCTGTTTGGATAGTCTGAGGTATGAGGTTGAAGCAAAAAGTGGGTTACACGACAGCACAGCTTCGCTGCTGGGGTTGGAAAACCAATAATCCCAGAAAGCGCAGAGGGTAGGCTGGGCCAGCCGAGGACTATGTGAAGGCTCATTGGGACCCTCCAGAGACAAGTGGGGTACTGCAAAGGTGAGTGCCCTAGTGCCAGGGTCGTGAGCCCGGAGCCCTGGGAGGACGGCTGCTAGGACATGCTGGATGAGTCATTCTCTCCACCCCAGGCACGTGCTGGTGGCAGCATCCACCAGGACCCCGCCTTCGCCCCAGCGCGGAACGCGAGGAGCGAGAAGCGAGCGGCCCCAGCCCCCCCGCCCCGCGGCGCCCCCACCGGGCCGCCTCCTCCGGGCGGGCGGGCACTGTCCTTGCCGCAGTCCCCGCGCCGCAGTGCCGGGCGCTCATGGGGGGCGCCCACGGGCACCTGGGCCGTCTGCTCATCAGAGCCGACCGCCACCCTCCCGCATTCCCACGGTGCCCCACGCCCGCGCGCCAGTCGCCAGTCGCCCGCGGAGCCGCGAGGGCCTCGCCTAGAGGCGCAGGAGGACTGGGCGGGGCGGGGCGGGGCGCGCCCACCGGCCGGCCCAGGGCACCTCACGCGGGTGCACGCGCTGCAGCCCCACGGGGCGGGTGGGTGTGCTCGGGCCGCGCGCGCCGCCGCCTCAGCCTGCTGCTCCGCCCGCGCCGCCTGCTGCCGGCGCTCGGCCCAGCACGCCTGCTCTCGGGCTGCCGTGGGCAGCTTGGGGCCCGCGGTGTAGAGTCCGCCGGCCCCGGAGCCGTGTCCCGCACCCGGACGGTCCCGGTAAGCGGGGGCGGGGGCGGCGGGGACCGGGCCTCACCTGAGGGGCGGGTCTGCGGCCGCGGAGAGTCCTCCGGGGACTCTAAGGTGCTTGTGTGGGAGCTGCCTCCAAGGTGGCCCCCGAGTAGCTGGATGAACCCCGAGTGACTGCTGCCTCTACCCCTTGGGGGAGTCCCTAAGGTGCTGTGGGGAGCCGCCCCCATGAAGACCCCCTGTGGGAATGGACTCCTGGGGCGCTCTCTGCATTTGCTGCCATGGGGTGCCCCAGCGGTCCCAGAGAGCCTTTCTGTGTCACTGTGGGAGCAGGCACAAGGGTAGTTTCTGGAGCTGGCTCAATGGAAGACCTCCTGGGAACATAGGGGAGCTGCAGGAGCCTCGAGGTGGTGGAGCCCCAGAGGACCCCCTAGAAAAGGAGGACCCGAGACTGCCCTGGAACTGTGGGAAGCAACCTCTGACTGGGGAGAGAGGATCCTGCCATGGGAACCATGAGTGACTTCCCACGGCTCCAAGGACTTGGGCCTCGACCTTCCTGTAGGGCCCCATGTAACCTCACTTGTGTTCCAGAGGTGGGGGCCTTCTGGGGCTGCAGCCTCTTTCCCTTTCGGATTTTTCTTCTCCGTGGTAGCCCAGTTGCTCCACGCTGCATTTTAGTGGAGGCAGAAACTGCTGCGAGTGCACAGGGCTCTAAGCTGGGGATGAGGACCAGTGAGGCCTCTAAAGCGAAGATAGATTTGAGCCCCTGGGTTTGGTCCAGAAGGAAGCAGTAAGATCAGGTGGAATAACTGACTTGGACAGGTCCTGGAGGGAAAGGCCTTTGAAGGAAGGAATAAAGGATGTATAGGATTATAGAGCACCAGTGTGCTAGGCACTGTACTAGGAATGTTTAAACATCTCATATAACTCTTACAACAGCTTTATGAAATTATCCCCTTTTAAACATCGAGACTCAGAGAGGTTTAGCAATTTGCCCAAGGTCACAAAGCTGATAAAAAATATAATCATAAAATCTGTGTTTTAAATTCTATTTGGGAAAAAAGTGCTAAGGAAAGGCAAAAAAAGAATAGATATTTGTTAATAAGTTGCATTAAGGTGCCTGCCGAGCATAGGGCTTTGCAATGGTACATGCTCAGTAAATGTGATGATTAAATAAGTGGATGAGAACAGTTTAACTGGAGATGAGATTGCTGCAGGAACTGATTTCCACAGAATCCCCAGATTTCAGGGTGTGGCTTCCTTCACAGACAGTCCCACTGTCATGATGCCTTGGAGTGGCTAATGATGCCTGGACCTAATTGAGGCCTCTGGGTGTGGTCTTTGGGGGGCTTATTCTGTGTATCTAGGGGGACCCTTCTGAGAATGGAGTGTCCCGAGGCCACCCTCCCTTCTGCAGAATACTTGAAGGAAAGAAAGGAGAGACAGGGTCACTTTTAGGAAGCACAATCCACACTGTCCTTGTGGCCCTCTGACTACATGCACCGGTGGACAATGGTCCACAGATAGCACTCAGGACACTTTTGTCCAAGAGTGACTCTGTGTGAGGAGGAAGAGGAGGGTGGGAAAGGTGCAGAGCCAAGGAAGGCTCACTGGGAGTCTGTTAGGGGGAGCTCAAAGGGTCTGCGCCAAACATAGTGTTGCCCCTTGATGTTTTCTTTCCAGCTGAATCCCAAGAGTTCAGCTTTGAACCCAAGGATGGATTCTGGTTTCTTGTCCAAAAATGGAGTGGTGAGAGGGCCAAGCAATGATATTCATTACAGAGCCATTCTGAAAGGGTTTTTCTGCTCCCCTTCCCTGCTTTCTTTCATACAGCCAACCCTAGTTAAATCCTCCTTGAATAGAAGCGGCTTCCTTTGGCTCCTGGAATTACATAGTGAGAAGAGAGACCAAGCTAGTGACAAAACAGAACAACCTAGTTTACCAGTTAGTTCGATTTTTTTTTTTAACTCAGTGATGCTATCTTGTGCACAACTCAGTGGAGTAAACTCTGACAAAGGTTTATGTTGGTTAGGACCCCCCATTGTAAAGTTGTTTATAATCCTCTTTCAGTTCAAACCCATCTCAACAGCTTAACAAAATAAATAGGTATGCATATTTTAAAGGAAAGTCAGAGGGACCAAACCTGAAAATATGATATTTGTTCCAGCTCATCAATTTGTCATTGAGGTTTTATTCCTAAATTGGTCTTCTTGTTGAGGGTACTTAGTATCATACCCACTCATGACCCTGGAAAAATCTCTAAATGGATCCAAGTTCTCCCCTAATCTTGGATCTTGGATATCACCTTCCCCATATCCAGCATTGGGTAAAAATTAAGATTTCAAAAATCCTAAGAATACTGCCTAACTCTCTCTAGTCACAGCATGAGTCTGCAAATCAAATCATTCCAGAATGTGTATGAAAGATGTCACCAGGTGGCCTTAATCTTCTCAAAAATGCTCTCTCCAAAGGAAAATAAAAGGGGAGAGAATGGCTCACCCAGTTTCATTTGAGTGTACCCAAATGTGTCTGGATTTTACTGTCTGGATTTCTCAACCTTTGATCTTTCACATATTCTCCAATTTTCTAACAGTGTCTTCTTCTAACATTTGCCATTCCTTTTCCTCAGACATGGATAGTTAAGACCTTCCCAGGCCCATTCCCCCAACTTCTTGCAATTTTTTCCACTACACCTGTTTCTAAGTGGATCACATTCATGCAAATATAGTTTCCCTTCTCTTTAGCTACAGAGTCTATTATCTTTTAGTCCCACACGCTTCTCCCCAGCAGTGCTGCTTGGCTTCTGCTGTCTTCATGTCCCAAATTGATTTATTCATTTCTGATAGGAATATCATTATCCACTCCACCCCTCAATCTTAATGACCAGATTTTGACAGGAATTGCTTACCAGCTTTGGACCAAGAAACCAAGACCATCAGTGTCTAGCTGGAGACATGATGATTTTTTCCATTAGCACATTCCCCTCCATTCCCCCCTCCCCTGGCTTCCAGCAATCCCCTTAGAGACACACTTACATTTACTAAGTGCTGCTTACTTGCCAGGCACTATGCTAGATAAATATGAGAGTTTCTTGCCCTTGAGGAGTTCATGTAGAATCAGTCTACATTTCTCTAATCATTCACTATAAAAAGTAGGAAAAGTAAGGGGGAAATTACAGCATTACAGAATATCCACAGGAACCAATGTGGAGTGTGCCTTTTCCCAAGCATCACTGAAACTCAGCTGCTGTGCTGTGCCTCCTCTGGCAGCCACATTCAGCCCTCCTGCCAGTGCCCTACCAAAATTACTTTTTTTTTTTTTTTTTTTTTGAGACGGAGTTTCGCTCTTGTTACCCAGGCTGGAGTGCAATGGCGCGATCTCGGCTCACCGCAACCTCCGCCTCCTGGGTTCAAGCAATTCTCCTGCCTCAGCCTCCTGAGTAGCTGGGATTACAGGCACACACCACCATGCCCAGCTAATTTTTTGTAGCTTTAGTAGAGACGGGGTTTCACCATGTTGACCAGGATGGTCTCGATCTCTTGACCTTGTGATCCACCCGCCTCGGCCTCCCAAAGTGCTGGGATTACAGGCTTGAGCCACCGCGCCCGGCTCCAAAATTACTTTTGCCCATATACTCTGAGTGTAAACTGGCCACATTTTTGCATTCCTGTGATAATAGTGACAGAACCATTTATTTGGATAGCATGTTACAGTTTATGAAGCCCTTTTAGATATATGATGGCTGTTTTGTTTTGAGAAATGCTTCATCTTACTGGGGTCCTCTCACTAAAACAGAACTGTGTGGGCTAACTGGCTTACTCTCTTTTTGTATGTTTGTTTTTTGAGACTTAGGAGTCTCCCAGAGGGAAAGCTCCAATGATTCACTACAATCACCACCTACCAGCTCTTAGGTTGTGAAGGAGTTTCCTGTTGGGTCCTAAGGCCAAGCAATGCACTCATTGGTCAGCCCTGGAACTTATCAGGGGAGTCCCTCTTCCTGGCCTCAGCAAATCCAATTCTCTGGGGTTTTCTTCCTCCCTGAAATTCAAATACATATTCTCTTCTAACAAATATTTTAAGCATACTATCTCAAACCAGTTATTCGGGCTGATGCTAATTCTTATGTGAAGACACATTTCCTTGCCTATTTCTATCTAGCACCCAGGCTGGCTTCATACCATCTAAGTCATGATGGAGTCCCCATATAGCTCCATGCCTTGGCGTGTGCTATTACCTCTTCCTGGAATGCTTTTTTTCCTTATCCTCTGGTGTAACTCCTACTCATATTCAAAATTTAGCTCAAGCAACACCTTTTTTTTTTAATCCTACACTTATGCCCCCTGAACATGCACATACTCACTGCATTCTCACAGGCTGAAGGAGGTTCCATTTGTTCATTCTACCATCAATTATTAAGCACCTGATTTGTGCCTGATGCATAGTAGGCTGCACTCAGCAAATGTTTGCAGAATCAGCAAATAGTAAATGGTGATAATTAAGGTGTAATAATTGCATTACAGGGGGTTGATCTGTGTTTCAGGGAACCAGAGCAGAAAACAGGGAGTGCCTCTCCATTTTGCTGAAAAGCTCTGCTTGCTAAGTGCAGTCTCACCAGCCAATCACTGATGGTGTGATGTTCCTGAATTGTGGCTCCCTCTTTGGGAAGTCAGCATTGTGGCTTTTAATGAAGACTCAGGCCCTAAGAGGCTAAGATCATGCCATAATTTTGCTCTCATATATATTAGAACTTTGTGAGCTTTCAGTAAATATTAAACAGTAGCAGGATGCCTAGTAGTCTTGAGCTGAAGCCAGAAAGACAGTTTTACTGTCTTTAGCCTTTCTGCTCCTTGGAAACCCCAGAAAAGCCCTGTGTAGTTGTGACTGTATCATCCTGAATAAATAGGGTGAATGGAGAGAGGTGGGGAGGTACCAGGTAGACCCGTTCAGGGTCTACAAACATGAATACTAGATTGTAGGCTACTGCCAGGTGACAGAATGGCTGAGTAGGAATAGTCTCCAAGAGCACTGTA